ATTTAAAAAAATTCAGTGATCAATAAATTGGAAAACCATTAAGCCTTCACATATGACTGAAGAGACTTTTGTTTCATTTGCTGGTAGCAATCTATCTTTTAGTCACATGCAAAATTAAAAGGTATTCAAATGTAATCAATACGTGAAAATTGTTTACAAATGGAAGCCAGAAATGTTGCCAGTAACAAAATCAAATGAAATATTTATGGCCCCCTCCCCCCCCAGATGTATGACTCACACGTAATTTATCTTCCTAAGAATCTGATCAGGCACCATTTATGCCTCATAGCAAAAATTTTGTTTATAAAAAAATTAATATAAGAAGCACTACAACACTTTATAAATAATTTACAAAACATAATACAAAATTAGAAAACTGTAAAAAAAATCACTGCACATGAATGGTTTTAAGACTGCTGGATGAACATCATTTTTCCTTCCAAGCTGGCGATTTATATTTATGTTACCTATTCACTGTCCTAGTTATATCCCTCTGATATGTACTTTGGAACAGAAAAGAGCTTATATAACTGCTGCCAGCATATTTTTAAACATTTACTATCTTTCATACACTGTTTAGTTAACTTTTCTTCTTGGGGGATTTTTCTTCACAAAATTTAGAGCAGTCCCTGGGAGAATTGGAAATTTACTTTTTAGGCAAAGAATGGTTGATGGTTTTGTTTCCCAGGCTGTTGATGATGGGAGCGGAGGGGGGAGCGTGGGGATATGGTCTGAAGGGTGACCGAACTGGTGATCATGTACATGGCATTAACGGCTGGACAATTGTCAGCCTTCTGGAGACACGGGTAGGACTTCCGGAGTGTCTGCTTCCCAATATGATCTGTTCTTCCCTGCTTCCCTGATGGCTTCTGGGTGGTCCTGACTGTTATGTAAATTGAATTGTGGCCACAAGTTTAGGGCTGTTTGGTACAGATAACAGATATATCTGTGGATATAGATATCTGTGGATACAGGTATCTATGGATAGAGGGGGAAAAAAGAAACCCAGGGGGGCAGATGTTGCTCTGAGACTCTTCACACGCTCAGCTTGGGTAGAGCATCTTTTTTTTTGCCTGTCACAATTTGCCTGTGGTTACTGAGTTTTTTTGGTTTATCTTTTTTTTTTTTTTCCCCCTCATGGCAGATATTTATATATCAGCAGACAGAAAAGAGTCCATAACAATTCTCACTTTCCTCCTGATAAAAGCAATACTGAAAATATCCTTAAACATACTCTGCTGAAGCTTAAAACCCTAAAATGCATTTGCTGGACGTGAGCCCAGCCTGGAGTACTGGAACCTCAGTGCTCTCCAACCCTGACCTTTGAGAGTGCTCACATTTACAGACAGTTTCTGGCACAGATGATGGTCTCTGAAGCCTTAAAACTCCACCAGCCATGCAGCAAACACCCCATTCCGCAAAGCAAATGCCATTAGTAAAATAGTGAGGGCCAGAGTCAAAGCCTAGTGAAATCAATGGAAGTCACTTCCTTTCGCTAAGTTTTGGATGTAGCCTTCAGTTCTTGAAAACCCTGGAAAAGAGGTGTTATTGGAAGACTCCAGCACTTTGAGAACCTCCTTCAGCGTCCTGGGTAGACCAGCAAAAATCCAATACAGCCATGCTGAGGTTGGTGAATACAATCAGGAGTCACATGAGCAGAATTTTACTCTACCATCTCGACAGTGACCTGAACCAAATCCCTGATGTTATCTAAAGTTCTGACCAAGATGCAGCTTCTACCCTAACAGTGGGCTGGACCCCAAAGGCTGGAGCAGAAACCGGCAGAAGATGAAAATCACCATCACAGGTCAGCCCACGCGTCATCAAGAACCTACAACACCTTTCTCTCCCTCTGAGCTTTGGTATACTCGCCCAGTGCCCAGGGGCCACACAGTTTTAGAAGGTGCTTGTCCAATCAAAAAGGAAGCCACAGAGATTAGTTGTCTTTAAAGGAAAACCAACTAACCTGAAACATATTGCAGGTGACCCACCTTACTCTTCCCAAAGGATATTCAGTGGGTTTCCCTACGTCCTGGTTGCTTAGTCTAGCCAGCGGTCACAGCAAACGCCTGCAGAAACACATCCTCCTACTGAAGAGGTCAACAGGGCAAGCATCAAGATTGGGGTGACATAAAAAAAAAAGGCAGAAGGAACAAAGCACTATTCCTGAAAGTCCATAGTAACAATCAAAACATCCTCATCGCTTCTCAGCCTGTTTTCTTCAGTCTCTCAAGAAATTTCTTTGGCTAGCAGACTTTGGAGAGAAATTGCTTCAAACAGAACCAAGTTACAGATGCAGTACTGAACCGAGCGTGCAGTTTATATTTATACTACAAAATGAGTTTTGGTAACCTCTCCAGGTTCATGGCCAAAGGACAGAGAAATCCCAAGCTACACATTTAACAATAAGCACGATGTTCAGCGTGGGCTGACAGTTCAGCAGACCTAATCCTAATCCTTTTTTGTCCTGTATTGCATTTCAGCGTATCAATATAAAAGTGTTCAGGTTTCCCTTTTTAAAAGTCTCAAAACAGTACTGGGTTACATGGGTTTGGGGAAGGGGTGAAGAATGAGGTGGAAAGGGGGAGGCAGCAAACGGAATCAGGAAAAAAATAATAAAAATAAAGAAATGCAAAGCAAGACATACACCTTTAGAAGAGAAATACCAAACCCCACAAATCACAATAAGAATAAATTATTTTTGGCACCCAAACACTTGGAGATTGCAAAACTGTCGACTGAATGAAGAGGAGGTGACCACTATGGAATGGCTTTAACACCTGCAGGGGGTGCGAGCAAGGATGAGAGAAATTAATCCTGTTGTTTTTCCCCTTTGCAAAATACAAATGTAAAAATCCGTAACACAATTTGACGCTCATAAAAGAGTAGACTAACAATCTAGTTTGCAATGCCGTGTTTCTGACTTTGGTTAATAGTTTTTCATAGTGAATCAGCACTTGGTACCTGAACGGCTGCAGTCGCCCCTCCAGGTGGCAGGCTCGTACGCGCTTTGCAACGGACAACAGTTCTTTTGCCTTTTTTTTTTTTCTTTTTTTTGTTTTGGTGTGTTCTGTTTTGTTTTTTCCTTAAAATGTGTTCACATTTTCATAATATACAGAAAAAAAGTTAAGCAGTTATTTGGTTTACTTTAGGTCCATTTAAAAAAAACTGGCTTTTTCTTTTTTTTCTTTTTTTTTGGGAACTAATTCTACGACACACACGCTAAGTGTTGTGTTTTTTGTTTTTGTTTTTTTTTAATAGGAAAACCCACGGACATTTATAAACTGTTCTGTCCTTCTTGTAGTTTTCTCAGTCTTTTACTTACAAGGGTGATGAACAGGTATTTTCAGAGTTCGAAGGGTTATGTTTCTGTTGGTGCAGGTTTTTTTGTGTGTGGTTTGGTTTTGGTTTGGTTTTTGTTTTAGGAGTTTTCTTCCAGAGAGTCTGTTAAAGGCTCCATAGGAACTGCCGTCGCAGGCTCGTGTTGTTTCAAGCGTTTAATTGTGTTCTTCAGTGCTTGCCTCTTATTGCAGAACCAAACTCTAACTACTTCCCGGTCATAGTTCAGTTTCTCTGCGATCTCTGTCATTTCTTGCCCAGAGGGGTGCGTGTTCTTCTCAAAGTGGGCATTCAAGATCTCAAGGGCTTGTGGCGTGAATGAGGTACGCCTCTTGCGCTTTTTGGATGGTTCGCTTCCGATAAACTCGGTAAGGTTCTGCATACCTGCTCGATGGCGGGCCTCAGCCTCAGCCATCCACCGCTCAAGCACCGGCTTTATCTTCTGGGCACTTTTAGGGGTGATGTCCAGCTTTTCAAACCTGGCAGGATACAAAAGGCCAGGGTTCAGTTTGGCTGTCAGACTGCTAGCTATAGTGTTCTCTTGGGCTTCCTGTGGTAGGAAAAAGTGGCTTCTCAGGATGGTGTGTCTGAGGGAAAATTGAGAAAGAAGAGTCTTACACTGATGCTCTGCCAGGGTGGGACTTCCTGCCTGCCTGACTGATTGACTGGCAGAGGTAATTTACAATGGATTACGAAAACCATCAGGTATATCTATTAATATATATAGAGAGAGCTAGATATTTAAGCTAACACAAAACGAGCACTACAACAAAATTCTAAGTACACTAAATAATACAGGTTATGACTCACGTTTTCATATTTCTGATGATCTTCAAAACCCTTAATGCTAAGTCTAATTACAGGAAATGATATCAAAGGCAATCGCTCTTTATCATTCCGTCTTTGTGATTAATGCTTCTGTTTCCCTTCCCATCCCTTGTTGTCCAAACACCACAGCTTTAATAATACAAACCAATGGCCGTTACTAGCCTCAGAATATCAGGTTTCTTTTCCTTTAATTTTTCAGCAATTTTCACTGTTTGCAAGTTAACGCTATATCCCTTTTCTGGGTTGGAAAAAGATTCCCATAGCTACAGTGGTATTCAGCTGAAACAGCTGGACACTTTGCAATTATCTTGACTGCCCTCACAATGTGCAAAGACAGACTCATGTTTTCCAGATGAAACCCAGCATAATAGTCTACTAATACGCTGTGGCACCAAGCTGGGTTTATTGTGGGATTTCTGCAAACTGTACCGGAATGATATCATTTCCTGTAAATGAGGTCTTCTATATATCATTTTGCCATCAAAAGTCTTTTGCCAAACCAGATTTTACAAGTATTATAAAACATCTGGAAAAGCAGGCACACAAAGCTGTAATCCTTTTAAAAACAGGCAGAAGAGCTGAGTTCACATTTCAAGTCCTATAAGGTAAGTACTTGTTTCTTTCATTTATCAAGTTCATCCTTTCTTGCTACACATTAGAAAAGTCTTAACCCGAGCCCTCTGATGCCACCCGTTCGCATTTCCCCGCTTTGCCTATCTCCGCCCGGCACGTCGCGGTGCTTAACGTTGCGGAAAGGCAACGACTCTTGTGTGGTGCTGCCGTACTCCCCAGCCCGCCCGATGCCGAAGCACCGCCACCGCCGCTAATCACGACGTGCTCTGGAGACGAGCCCGACCGAATCGGTGCCTTTGTGCAAAGCAACTCGGTGACTGCAGCCGGCAATTTTTAGTGCCTCTATTCGGCACGTGGTGGCTGCAGAAAATATTCCAGCAGGAAACAAAGCATTTCTCACAAAGAAAGAAAGAGACAAGGAATCATTTCAGATAATAACACTCCAAGGATTTTGTAACTGGTGGCTGGGATCCTAGTGTGGTATTGACTGCAAGGTGTCCTTCCCTGGTGTCCAGTGGTATTTCAGGCTGAAGTGTATGCTTTAGAACGCACTGTCTCAAGATAAGAAAACGCTGTTTCTGTCTCTGAGCTGATCCCTCAACTTGCTTACCTTTTTGCCCTTTCCGTAACGCTGGAGTTCATGCTGAAACTCCTTTGTTACCATTAGAAGTCAAACCGACTGTTTCTGAGGAACAGCACACTGCCACTGAAGCTCCTTGTCTTGGTGTTTTACAAGAAATGCACAGTCAGAGCAGGTTATTACACCCCAAAGTGATATCCATCTGGGGCGGTCAAAGGCAATTAAAAAATCCTATAACCTTGCAAGTATTGGGGACCAGCTTCTGCACCCAGTCCTCACGTTCTGAGCAATGTGCCGCTCTAGGGAGCCCTCTGTAAAGGGTCTCCACATTCTGGGCTTTTCTTAGACACGTCTGTGCTCCAACCCCATCGTTATCAGGGTTTTCATGATAATCGGTTGGTGGGGAACTCTTTCTCTTAGTAAAATTCCGACCATGCCCAGTGGTTTTCTCAGGTGTGAGGTAGATGGAGGAAATGAGAAGACAGAAAACTAGGCAAAAGCAAAGGAAACTGCAATTTATCACTTTAAAGTAGAGTATGTTAAACAGCAACTTAAGGCTACAACAAATTGGCAGTTGCTAAAAACTCCACCCATTTTAGGCATTCTTTGCCAATTGACCACAGGGGAAAAAAAATAAAATTAGTCCTTAGCAGCAGGGAGCAATAGCATTCATGTCGTCGGCATTGCTTGTTAATGTTGATACTGCAGTACATGTTGTTTGGTATAACGATACACAGGTCTTGAAACAAATTTCCCAGCAGTAGTATCCTTGTATAGACTGAATAAAGGTTATTTTCTACAGGGAGGTATCTTATAAGTAAAAACAGTAGGGGAGACCATACAAGTGAGAGGATCCTACGGAGCTTTTTGTATTTAACAACAATCAATGGGTTTTATGGAAAATCATTGAGCAAAATGTGAGCTGCAAGCTCACTACCCCATACTGATGTTATTTATAACCTTAGTCTTAAACTGCAGGAAAAGTACACTTTCATTCTACGGGGAATACATTAAAAGTATAAAGAGCAGATAAAAAGACAGAGCATTTCATGGATCACCAAGAACAAAATCCACTTAAATGAGCTTAGAGTTGGTTTCTTGGTTTTCACTGATGGAGAAGGACTATAAGGCATTGCCCAAGAGGAAAAAGCTGTTACTTAAGTGTGTTTGTTACCTCATGTATAAACATGGGATTACTGTAACACACATAACATGCATATACCGTGTTCGCTTCTAACTACTTTAACTCTGTCAAGGCTGTATTATCATTTTTTCTGATGAGGGCACGTTTCTCCTTCTGCTTTGCATACATGGGTCATCTGTCTGTTTTTGTAGTAAACATTGGGGTGATAAAAGATGAGTAACTGCTGGTTTGCAAGATAGCAGGAAGGATAATTTTTTTCCTTTCTGTGTTGCCTAGGTAAATCATCATTAACATCCCATATGTGAAGTGCTAACCACAGTAATGCAGGTTTTAACTTCGCAGGGATGCAGCCATGAAATAGGTGTTCAGTAACCCTATCTGTAGAAAATGGCACAGTATGAAGAGGGTCAGCCGGTGCTTATCCAGCATCAGCAGGCTCTCCAGCTCATCTACTGAATTAAGTCTCAATGCCAGGAACATTGTTTCTCACTTGTTTAAAAAAGAAGGAAGGAAAAAAAAAGAGGCTAAAGTTACTTTAGGGGTACACAACACGAACGTTTTATCTGCCAGATACCACCATTATTGTCTATTTAAGTCCTGGATTAAATAATCCATTCTAAAGACACGAGACTCGAACACGAACATGCTCCTTGCAATAAGCTGAGTAATTACTAAGAACAGATGGAGGAGAGGAGAGTTTATGATGTAACGTGTTACCTGCAGATGGCAGACTGGCTATAGGCTGGGCCTTCAGTGGCGCTTAGGGCTTGGCCAACTTGAGTCTGTGTCAGGCCAAGGGACAGGCGCCGGATTTTGAAAGCTTTGGCAAATTCTCGGATTTCTTCCAGATTCACCCCATCCACCTCTCCAGTGGCTGTTTGAGGATCTGTTGAAATAGTGTTTTAATCATGTCAGTCCTTCGCGTCACATACGAGTGGGCTAGGTTTACACCACCTTTCATCGTCAAGACATTCATGTTCTTTTATTTTTCTTAATACTTATCCCTTTCTCTTCTTCCCCAAAGAGAAAGAAACTTCCCTTGTCAGGTGTGTTATGAAGCATGTTCAGATTGCTAAAATACTAGCCAGGCTGCAGCGTTTCCAGGTGCTGGTGAAAGATTTTCAGACATACTTTGCTGCTGAGCTCCTGAAAGTGGCCGACCCTCCTCAGAGTGGCTGGGCTCCCCACTGCCGTTTGTGCCTTGCAGAATACCCCCCAGGCTGACGAGTCATGTTCCCTGTTGCCCGTTCTTGTCACATACAGAAGGAAGGCTGGTGTTAATATATTTATTTGCAGCCTGTAGGGAAGGCTAAATATGCACATGATCCGCTTGGGTTTTTTTAAATTTGAAATCAAGACTTTCTGCTTTATCTAAAATGAATGCCAAATAAGGAGATTCACAAACATTCCTTGCTTTTCCCAACCCAAACTGCCTGTCAAACGTCCACAGTAACCCAGCAAATGAACAAGCCCAAACAAAATACTGCCTTTAAAAACTCCCTAATTTAAAAATCTTCTTTTAAAATATGCCCGTCTGGAAGCAGCCTTTCAAGCTTTTCATTCTGCCTCCCATCAGGTTGATAATCAAGGAGCAGCAACATCAGCCATTAGGTTTTAGATGGAAATGCTGCACAATTTTTTACTTTCACATTAGCCCCTCAGAAGATAATGCATATGATGCTGTGAGAATAAATCTGTCCTTCCTCTCCGTAGCAGTTTAGTGGCACAGAAGCCTTTGTCCCTGAAAAGGGCACATAATAAAGCATGTCTACCACAGGAAAGCTCCTTTGGTGTTGGATAACTTGGTCAATTTAGGACTTATCAAGGGAAATGACACAACAGCTGGAGAACAGAACTTTTTTCCTCCCTCAAGCTACTGATCCCTGGCTAAATGAAAGTGTTTGCCAAGTGGGAGACAGCATGGGCCGGGGATGGTGGAAGATTTCAGTGTTGTGCAATCCTGCATGTAGTGAGGCCGCTCTCCTAGAGACATCTCTATTGTTCATCACCTCATTCCTCAGATTTCTTAAGTCAAAAGTGTGCAGCACAATAACCCATCAATTTCTGTAAATGCAAGCTGTTGTCCAAGGACGGTGCTAGACCACATTACTATTCTGAACCCTATACGAGAGTGGCTTCTGCTACTACTGCTATAGCTTAAGGCTTGTCAGCATTACAGTAACAAAGCCTTTATTTTCAGGGGTTTATAAACCTGATGTAAAATTCCCTTATGATGGAAATGTCCTATAAAACGATCTTTTAGTCCCATCACAGACAGAGGGAAGAGGCTTTTCTGCTATATAAATTTAGCCTTTACCAATTCATTGCTTGAGTGTAAGAAACCTACACAGCAATAGTATTTTAAAAATCCTGAACTCTGCATACAGGCAAACACGCACATTGGCTGAACCCAGTTTTGACAATGCTCCACACTCAGAATCGTCCCTCCTGTTGTCAGTGCGGTGCTTTAGCTCACCTGTGCACACCGGCGGGCACTCACCCAGTACCAAGCCAGGGTATGTAGTACTAGGTTTTAAGTAGTTGGCGGTATGATAGCGGCCACTCAGGTTTGTAAAGTAATTGCCTTCGGAGGTGTGACACTTTCCTACTTACCCCACACACAGTCTACCTTGCATGCCCGTTCTGATTTTCAGGGACACAGAATGGAGCTGGATGCTTATCTGCCCTTTGGGTGTCTGAAGAGCAAATTATCATAAATGATAATGGCCTCAGAGATTCCCTCGAGTAAAGTGCACTAAGATAGTCACCTTCGTCACCTCTTTCCTTCCTTTGCTTTAAGGCCTCTGACTAAGGCTATTAGGGATGTGACAAAGGGCAATTCAGATGTTCCCAGAGAACTTTCAAAGTAGCAAACGCTATGGCAACTGGAACCTGGAAACGTCCCCAACTCGTGTGAGGAATAAAAAGGGAGGTAAGAAAACTAAAGGGTTATTTGCTTGCACATGAGTACAGGGAAATTCGGCTGGATCGTTCTGGTATGGCACTGTTGCAACAGAGAATATCACAGAAAGTCCTTTCCTTCTCAGGGGGCTTGGATGAGGGAACAATTAGGCTGAGGTCTCCTTGAGATGAGAAGAAAACCTGTGTTGCACTTCAGGAATATGGGAGTAGATTGTAATATATGGCGGAGTATCTGTTGAGAAAGCAGCTTCATTCTTACCTAGTGGCTCTGGGAGGAGGAAAGTACTAACAGAGGTGGACCAAAACACTGAAGCCTTTTATCCCTGAACTCTAGGGAAAATAGCATTTATAGCAAATCAGAACCACTTCTACTTCAGGTGTGATTCAAAGCCCTCTGAAATTCCAAGAATAGTCCCTTGATTTCTGTCAGCTCCATAAAACTCATACAGCACTATGAAGACCACGCTGTTGACATCATCACATAACAGCACCAGTCTGTTTTACTACATTGACATTAAAATGCCATCAACACATAACCTTGGACTCTGTGGACTAATACACATACATAAACATATACAAATAGATAAAGGACTTGGTTTTAATAAGTTCTGAGCTCTCAGAACAGTTAAGTGTATAGTGCACTTCACATTTTAGGAAGACTGTAAATAAACCAGTGCCTTTTAAATTAAGAGGGTATCGTAGAGAAGGCAGGACAGTGCCAACAGGAAAATAAAGAATACCAGTCTCATTGAGTGGTTTGGATCCACAGTAACTGCATTTAAAGATTCCCAGTGTACATCATAGCGTGATAAAACAATGGCTGTTGTATCTACAAAACTATCAGGTGCTGGAGAAAGGTGAGGGAATTGTTTGTGACCATTTTAGAGGATATGTGTACATATGTGTACAAAAAGGAAGCCATCTAAAATTCCCCCAGATGCCCTTGTGGATGAAGGTGGGTGAGCCAAAGAAATAAAATCCACAGGCTGCCCTTTTGCACTGAAATTCTTTTTTTCCTACTGAAGGAACTTCTGAATTTGCCTGAAAATCCCAAATGAATTTGTTGGTGACTGAAAATATGCTGTGATTTTAATAGCTGGGGGAAGGAGTTGCTACAGGGAAATCAGGGCACCCTGAAGGAGAAAGCAAATTTATGTTGTGCAGACTTCTACCAGGATTACATGGGATGATTTCCCCAGTCAGAGAGGAGGAAAAAAAGCTGGCAGAGGAAGTCCAATGGAAAGTAAATTGGATAAGAGAGGCAGGACAAAACATTGCTAATGGCAAATAGACTGGAGCTCAGGGGAAAGAGAGAAGAAAAATTTGTTTGTGGGAGGCATTTTAATTTTATAGTAACAGATGACAGTAAAATTAATTTGGAAGGAAAAAAGGAACTTCACAGAGGCACAGGTCTCAGAGCATGAGGGGAAACCAGTGATTTCCACAAAGAAAATATATGGTGGATAAGTTAAAGAAATGAGAAGACGGATGCATCTGCGAAGAGGAAAATGAAATGGATAAAAGGAGGAATAATGATGTAGAATTGCATTAAGAGAAAACAAGGAAGATAAAAGAGAACATTGATAGAAGTAGACAATATGAAGAAATCATACAGAAGCGACGGGAAGAGTAGAGGTGAATCTTGCACTCCTTGCTTAGGCAGAGCTTCTTTTAAAGTTTCCTTTCTTTGGAAACAACCATAATTTTTGTTGTCTTTAGAACTAGCCCTTGTTGCTGAGGGGGGACAAAGGGGTGAGGGTGAGATAAAAGGGAGAAGCTTTAAAGAACACAGTAATCCCGGGCAGGGGCTGGGGTGGGGAGTATGTGGCGGGACAAGGAATAAAAAAATAAAGGGATATTTAAAAAAAGGAAGGAAATGCCTCTTTTTAAAAATCAGGAAACATGTTAAAGAAAAAAAATGTAAAATCATAAAGAAAATATGACTACAATGAAAAGTAAAAGGAATAAAAACAAGGAACATGGAAAACTGAAGTTACTAAAATCCAATTCTGATCCCTTTCTCATAGTTCTTTAGTAATTTCATTGAGGATAGGCAGCCTCTCGTAAAAAGATTTACTCTCTTTAAAGTAAGGGTGCAGAAATTGCCCAAAATAATTATGCGTTTACTGGAGTTATGTTGCTCTAAGCAATTCGATCAACAGAATAAGGTAGCTGAATATGCCTAGTTTTACATGAACTTTACCATATTTGGTGACAATTCCTGGAATCTGGCAAATCTCAACCAAGGTACTTGACTCTAGGGCATCTGATGAAGGACTGGACTGCAGCTTTGGAACAAATGAAGATAAAAGGAAACATGGATTTCTTTCAGGACCACTGATCCATTGCAGGTGTCATCCCAATAAAAGACTCTGAATGGACTGTGGCAGACACCAGATTTCAATTCTAGGCCTGTCACACAAAGCTCTGCTCGCCAGTGTGGGAGCTGGGATGCTAAGAAAGCTTTGTTCAATTAGGGCCCTTAGGCTCGACAAAACGTTGCTCCTGCCCTGCATGGATCTCCACCCAGAAGCTGAACGGGTTCTGCAAAGGAGCAAAACAGGGCTGACCCTCTGTCTATTTATTTCCCTGTGTGCGGGCACGGTTGTAGGCAAATGGGCTTTTTGTCACATGAAACAATTTTCAAATTCGTGAAGATCAATTAAGACTATTTGTCTAAAAAGATGGTATTGTCAAGGACAAGGAAAAGCTGTACAGGATCCTGTTGCCCTTTTCTTGTTTCACTACACAGGTGGATCGACCTACTAAACCGATCATATTTTCTTCTTTCTTGTAGGCTCTCTCCACTTTACTAGAAACCAGCAGGTAGCTCTTGTGCCCTGCAACATCGTCCCTCATGTGCCAGCTCGAGCAGGCTTACGCATGCAGCGTTAGCTCTAGCTTGTGGTTGGCTACGTGCTCTGTCATACGCTGGACAGCCATCAAGGATCATCGAGACGACTGTTTTACTTCTGTGTGTGTGGTAACACTATGGAATGCTCTTAAGATCTGGGTCGCAGTGAATTAATTCCCAAGCACAGTGCCTTCCTCATGCTGACTGTATGAAAAGTACTGTCTTTACTCTGAGTCCCCCACTTGATTTAATTGAGCTTTCTTCTTTTTTGAGCAAGGGAGAAGCACTTCAGTTGTCTTCCCTGGGTCATTCGTTATCACAGGTAGGGTGTTGACTAGGGCTAAGTTTGCTTGGCATTTGCCATTGTAAGACAAATTTCACATCAACTGCTAGTGAGAATGAGGCTAATAAATAAAACACATTGTTCTGCCAGGGATTAAAAAAAAAAAAATTATAATAACCTCCTTTCTTTAAGAAGTCTCAGTTTCTCTACAACTTGAAGCCTGGCCCTGATAGGTGTCAGGGAGATAGCTGTTACACCAGTAATCAGATTCTCGCCATCCCAACTCAAAATCTGTCTCCAACAAGTCCAAGCCTGTGACCGTCCAAAGCTCTTGTCTACTCAGTAGAGATTTGCTAGACCTGTGCCTGGAGTTTTCTTTAATATTTTGCCCGTACTGAGGATGCTTGAGCCTAAGGCTGAAGGAGATGGGAGAGTAACCTCCCTCTCCTATGGTTGTGGCTCTAGCCTGCTTTGGGCCAGGAGGACAGTAAAAACAGGCAGACTGACTTGCCTCTTCTCTGCATGATCATTTTCCACACTCCTCTGATGGCTCCCAGGGAGGCGGGAGTGGTGTCTGCTTGATTTGGATGCAGGGGAAACAAAAGTTAACCTTGAGTCTGAAGAAAAAGACATGATGGAAGGGAAAAAAACCCTGAAGAATACTAAGGAGCAGGGATTGGAGTTTGGAGTGGAGGGAGAGGCCCTTACTGTTCAGAGGGTAGTAAACACTGTGATAGAGGAAAGAAAACAGGGAAAAAGAGGCAGCACCATGGATTAAACAAGGTAGGGGAGAACAGAAATTACTTAATAAAAAGACTTGTAAAAGGGACACAGATATGGTCTGGGGACAGAGACTAACTGGGAGCTGGAAAGGAACTGAAATGGGAAGAGGAGTTGATGGACTGCGGAGAAAGGACTGCAGGGAGAAGGCAATAGGAACAATAGCATGGAGGCAAAGGGAGCACAGATTGTGTGAACAGCATGAGGAAGTAATGAGACCGGAACAGGACAAGTGGTAGAAGGAGTCAAGCCTGAAAGGAACCAGTAGAAGGTCTGTGTTCTTTAGAGTATCTTCCCCAAATTTATATTCTTATGCCTCACATTCCTTTGCTCTCCCTGAGCAGGACCAACAAGATTATAACCCAACCTACCAGCTTCTCCATCCATTCAAATGACAGCAGATCTCGTATTTCCAGCTAGGAACATAAGAATTATCTCACGAAGTGACTGACTCATATTACTGTCCTGCTTTTGTAACAACCTTGAGATTATCCACTCAGAAAAAATCCCCAAAGTTAAAAGAAGATCCTTAGAGAAGCACAACTAAGCACTCAGCAGGTACAAAATGCTGGAGTTAGAGTAGCCCACAATGCATGTGGCATAGTCTGTGGGTCCCGGATTACCAGTTCTTTCTCCTCACACCCCTGCCTCATCCAGTGCACAGGATGAATTGTGCTTCATTACGGAGGAACTGATTGATGTATTGCCTTTTTACTTGTTCAGTGTGTGGCCCCAGACCTCTATTAAAGCTCTTCACCAAAGACATAGTTATTCATCTCCTCTTGAGCTCTTCTGTTTTTTAAAATCTTAATTTATTTTCTTGTGTTTCTACAAGATGGGGGTCTTCCCCTTCTCATTCACAGATAAGTGGACAGATATTAAGGGAAAAAGCATTTTTGGGTATCCAGTCTAGGTCAAGTAGGAGATGATTTTTGAGACTGTGTCTTTAAATGGTTCTTCATACAGTTCCACAGTGAAAGTGCACTTAAAAATGTAACTGTGAGTACCAGGTTCTTCTGTAAATTAAAGTTCAGAGTCTCAAGCTGGATATTGAGGGAGCACTCGTGAAAAATCGGTTTTAAGCGTCTTGCCTGCCATTGCTCTGGAATTGCGTGGCAGACAGAAAGCTTCAGCTCCTCAGCCCTCTACTGCCTGAAGCAAGATGATCCTTCACCCTTCTACAGCTCTCTCCCTCAAACGTTACGCAAACTGGGGAAGAGTTTAGTGAATCAGTTAGGGAACTAATCCTGGGACAACAGCCCGTCGGTTGCATTGGTAATTTTGATGCATCCCTGGAAGAATTCCTTTGGAAATACACTGAAGACGGATGAGACAATCATCTTGATTGCATGATTTTAATCACAATGTATATCGTTATGATAAAATACATGTTCTAAAGGTACTGCATATGGCTGCACAAGCAACTGTTTTTCTAGTGTCTCCGAACTTTTGATGGATTTATCCTGTAAACTTAAAAGCACTTCTTCCATGTGGCTTTTATTGTGTAGTGTGCTTATCCACTTGGCAAAATTGACTGGAATAACTATTGTGGGGTAGAGTACCCCTCAATATTTATTCTAAAATTTTTTTTTAATAAGAATGTCCACAAGGGAGGCTATTTTGGACTTGTCACTGAAATTAACTTATTTTGCACTAGCTATTTTAGTCAATTTTCCTACATAGACAAGGGGTAACTTTATGTATTTTTAACATGAAGCCTCTTATTTGTCTTCTCCCTACAAGCTTGTCTACATGAGAAAATTTACTGACAGAGCAATAGCAGTATATTTATATCACTATAATTATAGCTATATATTTTATGCACTTACAGATACCAATGCGGATATTTTTATTCCAGAACAAAAGTATTCACACTGGGAGTTACACCAGCATAATTTTACCACTATAGCTCTGCTAGTACTTTCCCCACGTAAACAATCTCTGAAATAATCTAACCAAGATTTTTTCACATCTTCCTTTGCATGACAGTTTCTCCAAGCCCTTCGCAAGCTTGCATCAGTCATATATTTTCCCTTACCAATAAAGCATGAGCTATTGGGTTTGTTTACTTGAAATATGTACATGAAGAATCTTTGAACAAGGTCATCCAATACACTCAGACTTTTTGGATGTGCAGAAACTTTTAATGTTTCTTATGTATAATTTTAACTTGTCGGGTTTGCTATGTAAAGATCAAAGATAATGCTGATAAGGTAATAGCAAAGACCCCAACCTGTGTGATCTGGAAGAAAGAGCTGTTCAGGGGGTCAGCTGTTACAAGCCTAACACTGAAACTCCGTCATTTCACCGCCGCCTGCGTCTCTCTACCCTCCCACATCTTACAGTTCATTCTTGTTTAAATAGTGCAAGCTTTCCCCGACAAAAAGGGTCTCTTGCTCCAGATTCATGTGGTGCTTGGGTTTGTAAAAGAGTTTGCTGCACTAACTAAGCAAAGAAACTGTAACAAACAAGCAGCCTAACCCAAAGCAGGAGGATCTGTCTGCCCACCAAATTCTGAGCAATATAATTCACTGTACTGACAGATTCAAAAACTTCTAATTTCCAAAGAACATAAACTACATTTTAGTTAAAAGAATTGTCCTCATGAATCAATTAATGGCTGCTACCATTTTTATGACCATTTTTAGCATTGATTACAATTTTTCAAGTCACGTTTACCTTACGCCCCACCCATGACAGCCCTTAGCAGTTCTTACTGGTAAGAGTCACTCTACTTAGCAATATACAATCAACTCTATGAAACCAAAAAAAGGAGGGAAAGCAGATCAGGTAACTCAGCAGTGAGGAGGACAAACAGAGGGGAGAATTAAGGAGAGCCAGGGAGCAATACTTACTGCTGACTAACTGGCCAACACTCAAAGCTGAAGAGGAGGAGGATGAGGAGGAAGAAGAGGAAGCCTGACGCACTGGGCTTTGAGACATAGATGCTTGACTGTGAGCCAAATGCAGGAGATTGGGTTGTGAGGCTGCTTGTCCCACTTGCGTCTGGGAGGGCTGATGGAGCTATATGTTAAAATGCAAAAATAGGCATTTAGAAAATGAAGCAGTAAATGGAAACTTTCAGTGCACCATCTCACCCATCTCCTTCTGGGGAAGAAATCCCATAGGAGCATTAAATACCGTGGACTTAGTTCAGGTGACTATTACTACAGGAGCAATCTCAGCTCCTCTGAATTCTGACTTCCCCTTTTTTCTCAGTTTAATCAGACACCTAATCTATTTAGAAGCTAAATACTTGTTTAAAATGGGTGATGGCAGACCTGTGACATTCCCAGCAGCATTCTGATTTAATAAATACATGTCCTTACCTGTTTTCTGACTCACAGAGTCAGAATTTTATTCCCTACATGGATTCTCATATAAATCAGCATTATTTCAGAGAGGTCCTTTCATACTGCACAACCCAGGCCAAGAAGAGCAGGAAAATAAATTGGGGGAAAATCCCTTTCCTACAGAAAGGAATAATTTGGTTTTTTGACATTATATCTTGAAAACAAACCAAAATGTGGAAATCTCATTTCTAGGTCAGTAAATTGTCCTTGCCTACAACACTCACTGAAACTTCAGCGCCCCATTCACGTCAGGACTGCGACAAGCAAGATGTACCTAAAAAGTCAAGCGGGTACTGTAGATGCAAATGATACACTGTGATACGTGAAATCTCTGGCTTCACAAATATTTTTTTTTACAAATTTTACAACAGTGTAGTCTTTGGTTGTTCACTAGGGGAAAGGAAAGAACCATGCATCCCTTCTGGCTATAATTAGCTTTCATGTGGGACTGAAAACTAGGAACATTCTCTGGTAGTGGTTTTTACATAAAGCTCCCAGGAAATTCAAAGGGCAGTGTCCCTACAGAATGAAGGACACAACGGACCTTAGAGTTTTGAATTTGCCTCTAGTAGTCCAGTACAGCCTTTTTAGAGCCTAATAATACAGCAATATAGTCCTGATACACTCAGGTGACTGCTATTTATTATACCTTTGCTTTATGTTGATTCTTGATATTGATCTAAAAGGATTGCAGAAGTGTACTAAAAGGCTTCACTTTTAAGTGATAGCTGTTATCTGCATTCTCAGAAAGGGGGTAAAGATAAAGGCCCATTTGGCTTTCCTTGAAGTCAGTAATTTAAATCTATTTCTTGAATTCTGAGGAGTATGAGTTTTTCTCTTTTGTTATTTAACTGAACAAATGACTTCGGAAAAGGAGCTGAATTCATTAGTAATCTCAAATTATATATAATACGGTCCCAGAACACATAGAAATGACTGATACTAAGTAGACAACAAATTGTATGGCATGGTAGATAAAGGTATCTGATCACATTCAAGATGACACTTTTCTGTGGAATACATATGAGCAATTTTAATGACATTATTCCTGTTGTGGGTCTGTTTAAGAATGAGAAATATTACAACCCCTTTTTCTACCTCCCACATGTAATGAAATAACACAAAATGGAGCGAGAAACTTTTGAGTTATCCTTTAATAATAACTATATATATATATATATATATGACCAGTTTTAGCCTATTCCGACTTCCCTAGGCATCAATAAACAAAAACATTTTATTACTTCAAGGAGGTTTTTTGGATGAAGCATATTTTAAAAAAGAAAGTGGCACTGCATCAAAGGGAGAATAGTTGGGAAGCTGTCTGAAAGGCTTCCAGATGTCAGACTCATGCAACCAGTGGACATCTTTAAAAAAAATCACTAAGGTCTGGATTTTACGTGCTGAGAGGCCCCAACTCAGAACGTCTACTTTTACAGTATCTTCTCCTAGGGAAGCAGCTCACTAGGAGGGCTGGCCTCCCTTGAGCGCTGCAGAAATGGACTGCCCATCCATTACACCCTCATCACTCCTGACTGCAGCTCTTAGAACAGGCAGGCATTTGGGTTCTGGCTCTGTTATCTGAGGGAATTCTGGCCAAAGTAAAGATTTTAGCCTAGGTGAGGGGAGAAAAATATTCTATTTAGATGAGTTAGATGCTTTTTCTTTATCTGGAACAGACTTAAAGGCGTTAGTTCTTTATCTGTGAGGATGGAGGAACTATCCTTCTTTTTAAAGAAAGATCTGCAAAATTATAGTCCAGTCAACTAAACTTCAACCCGTGGAAAAGTACTGAGGAAAATAATCAAACAATTTGTAAGCACCTGCAAGAAAGCATGGTAGCAACAGAAAACATGGATTGTTAGAAACAAACTGTGTCAAACCAATCTGATCTCCCTCTAAGACAGGGTAATTGGCCTTGCGGACAGGGAAAAAGCAGTAGGTGGTTTGATTTTACAAGTCCCTCGACACTCCCTCGTGTGACATTCTTGATAACCTAGGGAAGCACAGTTTAGATGAAATTGCTGGAGAATGAATGCAAAAGTAGTTGGAAAACAAGCCCAAAAGGATAGATATCTATCTGTTGAAATGGAAGTATGCATGGCTGGTGCTTCCCAGAAATCTGTCCTCGTACTGCACTCAATATTTTTTTAGTGACCTGGATGGTAGAGAAGACAATATGCTTACTGAATTTACATGCCAACGACATGCTGGAAGGGAATTTTGATAGGGTGGAATACAGGATTAGGATTCAAAATGGTCCTGTCAGTGACAGGACAAGGAGTAGATGTTTTAAACTAAAAGAGGGTAGATTTAGACTGGATGTAAGGAAGAAAGTTTTTACAATGAGGGTGGTGAGGCACTGGAACACGTTGCCCAGGGAGATGGTAGATGCCCCATCCCTGGAAACACTCAGGGACAGGCTGGACTGGGCTCTCAGCAACCTGATCTAGTTGAAGATGTCCTTGCTTATTGCAGGGGATTTGGATTAGTTGATCTTTAAAGGTCCCTTCCAACCCAATCGTCTATGATCCTACTAAGTACAGGGGGACACCACGTCCACAGCTGGATGCCACACTTCAGAAAAAGTCTGGGCCAATTAGAGAAAACTAATTCATGTGGCTGAAGGCCTGGGAGTTACCTGAGGCTTATGAAGACACCTGGAACCAACTGGTCATATTTAATCTAAAGAAGGGAAGACTGAGTGGGATATGCTGCCTGCCTGAAATAGAGGCAAAGCTAATGAAGAGAGAATGATTCTGTCTTATATTTTACAGTGGAGAGAATGAGGCGCAATAACCTGGAATATTCAAGTTGGGTGCTGGGAAAAGCTGTCTAACGTGGCAGAGAAGCACTGGCATAAACTGTGATCCTGCTCTGGCAGGGGCGTTGGCAGGATCATCTGGCAGGATGATCTCTAGAGCTCCCTTCCAACCCCTAACATTCTGTGAATCTGTAAACCTATGGAGTTCCTATGAGAGTGGTTAGGAGCAAGTTAGACAAATACTGGAATAGCTACTCCATCTGAGAACAGCAGAATGGACTGGATAATCTCTTTAACCTTGACCTTCCAACCTTAATTTTTTATGATTCTATGCTATTTCCACTCAGTATTCCTTAGGAAGAAATACATGATATGTAAGACACAGTTGGCAAATCCAGCATTTTCCATTCATACTACACGTACAGTCCCCTAACAGGTCAACTGCTGAACATGTACACATACATTTGATGCTTCCAGGAAGCACCAGAACGAGAAGGCGGTCTGTATTCTCCAGTTGTGCATGCAAAGCATGCGCAGGGCTGCAGGCACTACGTAGTACCTGCACTCTGTGCTGGTTAAGTCTAGGAAATGCTTGATTCTCTGCACGTGTACTGCACAATGCATTTGCAGGTGTATTTTTGAAATAACTGGGACACCCAGAAGCTTAGAATTTTTCTTGTCAGACATCCAGAAATCTTTGGACAAATGTAAGACATCCTTAAAATTTGGCTGGTCAAAAAGGGATCTGGGTAGTGAAGTCTGGATGCACAGTGACCTTAGGTGTGATAGCAATATAAAAGGTATATTTACAGAGTGTTGGTTTCTAACTCACTGCTTGTGAGGGAAAAGGGAGCAATGGGGTTGGAGAGGCTGAAGAGTCACCTTAAGGCCTGACGAGGGACTGAGGAATGATTACATCTTTAACTCCCTACATAATTTTCAGCACACACCCTGTTTTACAGACGTGGCGGTTAAGCTGTAAATGTCCTGCTTAAAGAACAATGACAGTTATCTGTGCCATGAAATTGCATTAAAATACTCTCTCTCTTTTCATCCACTATAATTTCCCCTCCAGAATTAGCCTTAAGGAGGGGTGACGATTAGATTATGAATTAGATTCTAGATGACAGAATCAATTCAAACTTGCAATTGCTGACTTTTCCCAATTTTGGACACGTACATATGATACGAATTATATTTATGACTGTTGTGCATTTTCCATTCAAAGACAGAAGGAGGCACAGAAATTACAGAAGCAGTTGCTGTAAGTGCCAGTCTGTGTAGGTGGATGTGGTAGACACGCCAAGAATGATGACTGTATGCAACACTGATCAGTATCTGGTAGGAATATATGTGTGCACAGTACAGCTAGAGGAATAATATGAATATAAGAAGCATAAAGTGCAGCATAATACTTTATAAGAATAACCTCAAAAATGCAAAGGGCCTGATTCTTATTTCTTTTACACTGGTTTTACATGCAGCTGTCAACAGTAAAGGTAGTATTGATTGATAATTGCAGAGACAAAGAATGAATTCGGTCTGCAAGACTAAATTTTGTTCTTAAATTATGTATGTAGGATATTCCTACACCTGGGATGGTTGACTGGAGTCCTGTATTAAGGTCTTATGAGATCTGGGATGTTGTTCCCTGCATCCAGAAAGCTACATGATAGTGACAGAGTAACAAGGTGTTTTGCATAAGCTAAGGAAAGAAACTAAATGGAAATAAAGAACAAACTTCTGAGAGAATATTGCCCCGTATCATAACAGGTTTTACAGAGTCTGGACAAACAGCAAGTGCAAAATATGGCCCTTGTAAGGGAGAAGAAAGGAATGGGTTTAAATTGCAGTAAGGAAGGCTAGGGTCAGGCATCAGAAAGACCTTTCTAATGCTAAGGAGAGTG